CACAATAATGGTCACAGTAGGTTGGCAGAGAGGACACAGAGTCACTTCTTAATTCCCATTTACAATAATAAGTCAATCCCTTCAAAATTCATGTTTAGGCTCCAGATTTTTCTGTGGTTTAGTTTTTTCCCAGCACCTGATTGTGGTACTGCACAAAGACAGCCACTGTAAGGATTTGCTGTTCTCAGACATCCCCTCGCTGAGACATTTACCTTCATTAAACTAAATCTGCTTCTCAGCACCCCCCTTCTCCCCTCCTCCCTCTCCAACACTCCCTTGCACACAAGCTGTTTGTCTGTGTGCATTGCTTCCAAACACATTGTGTAGAGTATCCATCTGCCAACACAGACAGAAAGATGACACTTCAATCACACAGTGCAAATCCATGTCTGGTCGCATGTCTTGCCACCCAGCACGCGTTTGACAAATGGTAACATGCAGGAAGAGGCCAACTTCAACATCAACCCAAAGCAGTACAGCATGTTCACAGCTTGATAGCGTGGCAGCTAAATTCAGAATAAAACAACTTTGGGAACATTTCCACTGTGTCAGATTCAAAGTATCAACCACAGTATATGAATGTCATTTATCTTTGAAGGTGTCAGTCACTGTGGAGAAAGATAGCTGTTCAGCCCTGGGAGCACAAACGCCACCTGTTGTGTTGTGTGGCTTGCTCCAAACCACTTTGTTTGTTTCCTATTTACCGTAACCCAAAGGGTCGGTTTGAGGACCTGGGAATGTACCGTGGCCGACAAGGGCAAGTGTGCCGCAAACGGCAAAACGCTGCAAACACGGGAATGATTCAAATCCAGAAACACACAAACACAGTAAACAAATCCAACAGAAAAACGCAGCAATCACAGAAACGGAACAGAAGCAAAAACTTACAAACCCACAAAACAAATGCCAAAGAAAAATGCTGCAAATACCAAAAACACAAAACAACAAAACAACTCCAAGAGAGAAACGCTGTAAATTCGCTCCACAAAACGGAAGTGCGCCAGGCCACTAGGGGGACCCGACCTGAGGAATGGACCAGTCCTGTGGGACCAGACCCAAAAGACGTGAAGAAGAAGAAGAAAATTGGCTACGTTTTGGAGAGGAGAGTAAATCAGAATCAGAAATACTTTAATAATCCCCGTGGGGAAATTACTTGTGGGGGGGGAGGAAAAGGGGGAGAAAAACAAGAGGAGAGGGGAGGAGAAAAAAAGCAGCACCCAGACTCTGCTCCTGTGGGGGAGTACAGTGTGGGACTGGGAAAAAAACCTCAGCAACATAAGCACATATGAGCACACTTTACAACATAAAAAGGTATGTTTTCCTTTATGTCTTTTGTAAACACTTGGCCGTAATCGCTTATAATATTATAATATTATAATTATATTATAATATTATAACATAATTATAATATTATATAATATTATAATAATTATATTATATATGTATAATAATATATTATAGAAGAATATTATAATAATATTATAAAAAATATAATATTCTTCTATAATATTAAATAATATTAAATAGTATTAAATAATATAATTATAATATTATAAAAGATTATGGCCAAGTGTTTAAAAGAGACAAAGGAAAACGTATCTTTTTACTTTCCTCTCCAAAACTTTCTTCTTCTTCTTCTTCTTCTTCTTCTTCTTCTTCTTCTTCTTCTTCTTCCTCTTTATGTCTTTCGGGTCTGGTCCCACAGGACTGGTCCATCCCTCAGGTCGGGTCCCCCTAGTGGCCTGGCGCACTTCCGTTTTGTCGAGCGAATTTGCAGCGTTTCTCTCTTGGAGTTGTTTTGGGGTTTTGTGTGTTTTTGGTATTTGCAGTATTTTTCTTCGGCATTTGTTTTGTGGGTTTGTAAGTTTTTGCTTCTGCTTCGTTTCTGTGATTGCAGCATTTCTGTTGCTGCGTTTTTCTGTTGGATTTGTTTTATGTGTTTGTGTGTTTTTGGATTTGCATCATTCCCGCGTTTGCAGCGTTTGCCCTTGTCGGCCACCGTAGGAATGAGACGCAACAGTCAACTCTCTTTCTCTAGAATGAATCCAGATCCGTATCTATTCAGTCTTAAATTTGCTTCTTGGTGCCACATTCATCCGTCCATACATACTACCTTTTTTTCCAAACTTAACAAAGTATTCAACCAAATCCAGCCAGGTGTGACTATGGCCCATACATTTTTGCTAGATTTGGCCAGGTTTTGTGGGCTGCTGAGCTGGGCCAATTGTGTATGAGCATCAGAATAGTATAGAATAGTAGGTTTTCACGTTCAAGGAGTTTGCCTTGTTATATATAATTAAACACAGCATTAGAATATAAATTAAGAAAAACAAGGACTGCACGTAAAGAAGTATACATTTTTATTGTCATTGTTTTTTTAAATGGAAACTGTACAGTTTTGTGCACGGATGTGGAAGATTTTGTCCAGGGAATGTGCAAAAGTAGAGTAGAAAGACTATTTTCAATGTGCAAAATAACTAAAGTCTGTAATGCTAATATAACATGTAGTGGGGCGGCTGGGTGAAAGAGACAGGGTCCCGGACCTTGAGGGGTCAGCCACAATCTTACCTTAGCTCCTGGAGGGATGGCAGATTGCAGCTAATCACCTTCTCAGTGGAGCAGATGATATGGTCCATTCTGCCCTTGTCCTTGGCAGTGGCAGCAGAACCCTTTTAGCAGCACTTGAAGTAGCTTTCGGCCACAGTTGCACCCTATAATCAGATTAGTGTACTTTGGATATTTCTGATTCATCACTGATTCAGATTTCCTGGATCTTGACAGCTGATGGGTGGCAGATGGTTTTGGCTTCCTTCGCATGGGCTCTTTCAGATGCGGTTTATGCAAATGATGTGACAGCATTACTTGTAACTCATTATTTCAATGTGTTCATCAAAACACTGACTATCTCAAAGACTTGGCCAACTCCAACACTACATTTGTAGTGCCGTTTGGAGTGTGGTTGCGTTATGCCAGACACACAAAACACCTGAAAGACAGACTGGTAGCACATGAATATGCAATTAGAACTCTAAAACCACAATTATCCCCTGGGACAGCACTTTAGAGATGCAGGCCACAAGGACCCACACTCACTGAAAGTTAATTTTTGAAGTAATCTCCCAACAGGACTGGGGATGGGAGGTTGGTGGTAGGGTTAGTGGTTGACAGACCTGCCCCTGGCAGGAGACCTTTTGTATTGAAACCCTGAAATCTGGATCAGGAAGTTGACTTTTCTTCTTTCTGTGTTTTATTGGTTTAACGTGTATCTTTGTGCCTGTATCTTTATGTGATTGCATCAAGCTTGTATTAAAGGCCATGCAATGACATGTACTGTTGCACATTTCATTGCATTGAGGACTATTCAAATGCTTTAGAGTTTAAAGGAATAGTACCACATTGTAAGAACTGTGCCTATTCACATTTTTGCATAGAGTTAAATAAGAAGATAGATACCTCTTACACGTTAATTTGTTTAATCCATATACAGAAATATAAAAGTTATTCATTAGCAAACAACAACAGGGTGCAGTGGCTTGTTATCAAGAACTCGTTACATAACTTATAAACCCATAAATTGTCATTTACAGATATCTTTGGATTGAGCAGGCTAACTTTTTTCTACTGCTTCCAGTCTCAGTGCTAAGTTAAGATAATCATTTTACTGTAGCTCCACACTAACATACAGATATGAGATTGATATCAATCTTTTCATTAAGTCTCAGCAGAAGAATTTTCAGAAATGTAAAATTATTCCCTTAAAAAACGCAGAAATATTTTACACCAAATAGTAAACATTTTGAATCATCTGTGCTGCTGGACAACCATTAGGTTATTTATAAATTGGAATAATTTTAATTTCAGTCAGCCTACTCACGTTTGAAATGTTTATTAAAGCAGTACAGCATTTAGATTTTGGCGTCTAGGCTCCGACCTCATCACTCCCCGCAGATATGTTTACATCAGAATCAGAATCAGAAATACTTTAATAATCCCCGTGGGGAAATTACTTAACCTTAACCCCCAGTCGAATAATATATATCTTGAATAATATAAAAACATCATATTGGACTTTAAACTATGTTTTGTATGTTGACAACTAGTGCAACATACAAAAATCTAATTATTTTGTGTATTAATATGAAATATAATATATAATATATCAGAATCTTATCGTTTATAGCTCTGTCAATGGGTTTTTAAAGACATCTTACAAAAGGTGGGCCATAAGCTAATGCAGTTTGGGGGGCCTTGGCATTATAGCATCATTCTTTTATTCTTATGTATTACTTTATTTAAAAAGAAAGGAGAAAAGAAATGGGCTCTCAGACGGGAGCTGGTTCCGATCATTTAATTAAAGAAGCCAGCTCTTATAGACTCGTTCATAACCAACATGTCAAATTTGAATTCCTCTCAATTGGCCGGCATGGGTTGCTTTAGTTCAGGTTCTGCTTTTTGCTTTTGTTGGGATTTTCACTCTGAAACTGACATTTTACATCTCTGGTGTTTTGGAATTGTTCCTGTACAGATTTGCATTACAAGGTAATGCTTGCTAGACGCACTGCCTGCCCTGCACTCCCCATTCAGCACCTACATGCACACAGATGCACCTGTTGGAGGTCTGCACTCTACAGAGTGCACTCTTCTACTTGAATATGTTGTTCATATGTTGGGATTATTATCCATGTATTTCCAGTATTCTCCTTTGAATTCTATGTTTTTATGTAAAGTCGGTTTTTGCTGCAGCAGTGACCCAGTTTCCTCTTGGGGATCATTAAAATCTTAAATCATTTTGTATTTCAATTAGATGTCTGCATTGCATCCTCATACTGTGTAATTTTTGCAGTGAGTTATGTGGCTCTTACTGCTGTATGTTGGATGCAAAAATCACCAACTTAAAGTCACCACAGGATGTGAGTTCTGCCTGGCTGACTCTTTTTTCCTTTACTCCTCTCTCTACATTCCTGTGCCTCTGCCATGCTCCTTCTGCCCGCCGGCGCCAGTTGGAGGCTTTCTACTCGATCTTCACCACAGAGCAGCAGGACCATGTTAAGTCAGTGGAGTATCTGCGCAGCAACTTCAGGCCCATCCAGAGCTTGGACAACCGCCATGTCTACAAGTCAGCAGTGAAAGACGCCTGGCTGCCTGACCTGACTGACAGTGGCAGCGGGCCATATGGCACAGAGGCTTCCAAAGGTAGGAGGACTAGGACTTGTTTCAGTTATACACTCACTTCTTCCTTATCACCATAGCCTAATTAATAAAGAAACCAGTGTATATACAGAACCCCTTTGACCCTATCAAACCAGGGCACCAAAACTCACCTAAAATATCTGCAATTGCACTTGTGTAGTTGTTTAGGTAATTTTAGGTAATTTTTAGGTTTAACTCTTCAAACTACACACCGATGCCACAAGCCACCACAGATTAAAGAAACACTTGTCAAAGTAAAAGCCTTGAAAATCTGAAATGTTGCTGCTTCTTTAATTAGCTCTGATCAATGAATCATTCAGTTATGATGATGATAATGTTTAAGTGCTGAATTAAAGGAAATATAAGCTAAATTATATGCACTCAATCAAAAATGTAGATGTATTCGATATTATAGTTATAAAAGAAGGAATGGTAAATGGACCTGTACTTGTATAGCGCCTTTCTAGTCTTCCGACCACTCAAAGCGGTTTTACACTACGTGCCACATTCACCCTTTCACACACATTCACTCAGTGATGTCCATCGAACAGAAACTAACTCATTCATACACATTCACACACCGATGCACGGCACCGGGAGCAATTTGGGGTTCAGTGTCTTGCTCAAGGATAGTTCGACAGGAGGACCCGGGGATTAAACCAACAACCTTCCGATTACAGGATGACCCGCTCTTCCTCTGAGCCACAGCCGCCCGAACAGAGGCATCAAGGTTAATTTTTTACTTTTACATAGACTACATTGCTATTTTTAAGACTACAAACCATTCACTTTATTCCTACTATGTTTGAGTGGAATATAACTTCAAGATAATCTTAGTGCCATCTCTCTTTCTACCCACTGATCTATATAGAATCCATAAAGTTACCCTTCCTTTCTCCCTGAACTGGAACATTTCTTAATATTAATAAATGAGGGATATTCTGAGTTATTCATATACCCATAGGAAACTGATTGTCTTCTTTTTGTCTTTGTGTGTGTGTGTGTGTGTATGTGTGTGTGTGTGTGTGTGTGGTCTAGGCTAGCTCTCTGTCATTTCACCAGTGAGCTGGGTAACTCCCCTAGCATAAGGCAGTGGGAGGCACACCAGCTATCCTCCCACTCCTGCCTCATTACCACTCAAACAACACCACACATTGGGCAGTGTGTGCGTGTGTGTGTGTGCACACATTTCTCTGTGCAAGTGTTCGTGGTCTGGCATCTGTGCTGTGTCAACTGTCCTAGCAGGATTCGTCCCCTCCCTTACTTCACACACACTTCCATATGGTCGACTAGGAGAGAGGTACATCACTTAGATGTACACACGCAAACACATACACACAGCCACTCACACACATAGGATATGTGCATGTGTCCTGGCACAGTGCGCTGCATGCTCGTGCAGTATGTCCTTGAGCGCTGCAATGGGACATGTTTGCAGTAAGCAGATCTATAAGGCTGGCAGAGAAAATGCAAAAGAGGAGGAGGAGGAGGAGGAGGAAGGACGGCTGTGAAAAAAAGGCAAAAGAGGATTAGAGCTGAAAAACAACAGACAGAGAGACATACAGACCACATGCCTCCTACACACCCTCTGCAACATGCTACCATAGCTACAGCTGAGTGGGCTAAGGATGGAAATCTGTGCATGTGAGTGTTCACATGGCCTATAACCCCTCTCTCTCCCTCATCTGACCACAAACAACATCCCTGTAGGATGAAAACCTCTACAAAACCCACTATACAGCAGCAGCTGAATTACACAAGTCATTTTTCTCTCCAGTCCCCCCTCCCTGTGCTAATTTATTCCATTTGACTGTGGCTCAGCCTGAACACCCACTTGCTAGTGATTTTTCCTATTAGCCGTGATGCTTCATGGGGCGGCTCAGAGGCAGAGCGTGTCGTTCCTCAATCGGAAGGTTGTGTGTTCGATCCCCAGCTCCTGGTGCCACATGTCAAAGTATCCTTGAGCAAGATACTGAACCACAAATTGCTCCCGATGCCGTGCATTGGTGTGAATGTGTATGAATGAGTTAGTTTCTGTTCGATGGACTTTACCATCACTGAGTGAATGTGTGTGAAAGGGTGAACGTGGCACGTAAAAGCGCTTTGAGTGGTTGGAAGACTAGAAAGGCACTATACAAGTACAGGTCCATTTACCATTCACCTTTCCCTTTGGCTCTCTGAATGACTGGTCGCATTTAGTGAGGTTGAATGTCAGATAGATGCATGCATACAGAAAACAGATAGGAACAGTGTTTGGGTGTCGTTAAAGCAGACATTGTGGGAAATACGGTGCTTGTTTGGTGTTCTGAAGCAAATGAGAAGAGCAATTTCAGTTTCATCTCAGTTTTTCTTTCTTTCTTTGTTAGCATCCCCATGAGGATCAGTATAAGCATTGTGTGTCCAGTACAGAGAGAGGTCTGTTATGTGGATTCACCTACCTTAACGGACCAGTGAGATTGCAGATTGCAACCAACTTCACTCACCTTCCACTTTCAAGTGTGTAGAAGGTATCCCGGCTAATCCAAGAATGCGAGTGTGGGTGGAGCTGAGGCAGGCTAAATGAAACAGCCGCCTGTAATGACACCCACTTGTTACTCAAAATGGCCATGCCCCTAATTATGCAAAACTTTAAGCCTGAATATAATTTGAACGGGTTAGTTGTATAAAAAATTCATCCCCCGTACAATGGAGAAATTAGCTATAGAGACCAAAAGTGTTTTTTGTACCAGGCTGTAAAAATGATTACTTCTTCTGTGAAGTTTGGCATAGACGATTAGACGTAGGTTACTGCACTAGATGGGCTACCACCTAGAGCTGGGGTCTGCTCGAGGCTTCTGACTCTTAAAAGGACGTAAATCCTTGCCACTGTCCCCACCTGCTTGCTAATTGTGGGAACTGCTGGGTCTCTGTAAACAATATTATAAAGTGTACAGTTTAGACCTGCTTTATATGAAAATGTTGACTACCCAAGATGAATACCCAAAGGTCAAATTTCACCAATTTCTTTTGGCCGTGTCAGATAAACATCCTAACATTTCTGCTGCACTGAATGTTTTCAGTTTTGAATGTTTCCAAATATGGAAACAAAGACTGTGTGTATATAATCTGTAACTTCAGTTAGAACTTTGGAATTGTACAAGATTTACTATTCCTCTCATTTTCAGCCGTTGTTCACTGGTCGAAGAAAAAGACTACCATTTTCTCTCCTGCTCTGGTGAAGGCCACCAGGGCGGCGCTATACAAATAAAACTGAATTGAACCAAGAATGGTTCTGAGAGTAGACTAGACTAGTAGAATAGACTGAACTAAGAATCTAATGAAATACATTAGATTCTTAGTTCAGTCTATAGTAGTAATATAATTATTAGTGAAAGTCAAGGTGAAAAAGGTGAAGGGTGCAATGAGAGGATTTAGATGTGATTTAAAACAAGAAACAACAAAACCCAGATTCCTGAGCTGACAAAAGGTGTCAAAGGCATTTTCCAAGGTGTCAGGTGATTTGACTGTTGTTCACAAAGAGTCTTAGAGTGTCTATGCTTCCTATTTGGAGACATTCTCATACCCTTGACTCGAAACCGCTTTTGCAAAGAGCTGAACAGCCTAAAAGCATAAGCAAAGATGAACTCTGCCCCTTCTCAAGTTCCTGAATTACTGACCGTCTTGCTATATCAGAAGAGCTTTTCCAGTACATGGCATGGGCAGGGAGAAATCAAAACATAAAATCTATATTACCACATCTAATGCACTATGAATATTATAATAACTTTACATGCACAAGTATCTATTGACATGTCAAATGTAGGCCTATTTGCATTTCCAAGTATCTTAAGTGCTGATATTGAAATAACAAGTCAGTAAAGTCAGCTAAGTGAAATAAATAAATTATACATCATGATAAATTATATAAATCATGTTGCACAACCTCTAATGGAGCCAAAAATAAGCAGAGGAGCGGCACAAGATATGTTTATTGATCTTAGACAACATGTCAAGTAACATTGCTAATAATAAAAGTTAACTTCATAATGTGCTTGCACTTACACTTTATGGCACATTACATTTATAGTGTTTATGAGAAGTGACACAATGCTTCAGTAAGCATTATGTGTTCTTCTGGGCACAGTCATAAAGCCTCATGGATGCCCTTATACAAAAATGCAGTGGTTCAAATTGGGGTCCTGGGTCCAACAGGGGGTCCTTGAGTGGGTTCTATGGGGTCCCCAGAGAAAGGAGAGATGGAATATTTTAACTTTCATTTCAGTTTTTGAAAGTTGGAACAAGGGAAGAATAGGTTCATCAGCCATAAGATTATGACCACTGACAGGCGAAGAACAAGAACAAGAACAAGAACTAACACTCCAATCTGAGTGTACTTACCCTTCACCTCTCTACACACTTTTATGTTGTTTGAGGTCAAGGTTAAGATGTCCAGAGCCGAAAGATTTCTCTGCATAATATCTAGACACCAAAAATTACAAAAAGACACAAGTACTGTATTAAGTAGCTTGCGCAACGCAAGTACCGCTTCAAGTGCTACTCAATTTACAGTCCTTCATGCCATTGAGTGGTTGCCTACTATAAAAACCATGACACTCAGTGTTGTAAATGCACAGCACACACACAAGCTGTTAGTACTGCAGAGGCAAACTTCACACGAAGAAGCATTTAAATTTTTCACATCAGAAGATGTTTTCCTTCCTCGTAAAAGTGACACAAACTCATGCCATTATGATGTATTTGGATTAGTATTTTGATTAGGAGGCTGTTGCCATGGAGTCAGTATTGGGGGGACCAAATCTGCCGGGTGTCTGACATTGACATTGATTGTATCGACCCACAGAAGCAACAGTTTCTGCTGGGGTAAGGCGCCCCCCTTGGGAAAAAAAAAAAAAAAATTTAAAAAAAAAAAAAAAAAAAAAAAAAAAATTTTTTTAAAAAAAAAAATTTTTTAAAAATTAATTACGGGGGGGGGGGGGGGTGGTTTTTTTAAAAAATTTTTTTTT